TTGTTATTTTCATTTTCTCCCCTGCTCCAAACTGTATATTTTTTAACTGAAACGTGGGTTTCATGCTTGCAGAAGTTATTACAATACAATACAATACAATACAATCTGGGGAACCTGCTAGTATTCAACCCTCATGCAAATTGCGGAACATTTTTATTTTAAAAAAATATTACTGTACGATGATTTGTTTGGTACACAGTCTGGCCTCAGACGGGTGTGAAATATAATATATGATAATACATATTGTGTACAAGGAAATGACTATTATCTTCAGTAGGGGGAAATCCAACCTACCGTTCGATCCGGTGCGCTCATCTGTGGAAAGTTGCTGTTGTTGTTGTTGCGACTGTGTTTGGACACCGGATTGGACTCGGCGATTCCAAGTCATGGCGCGGTCCAGGAAAACCCGATCGACTTTGGCCAATCGCATCACATTCAGCACAGCTTCTGCATTCGCAGTGCTCTCCTCAATCGTGTCCGAGGGATATCCCACGTAGAGCAATATATTGATCGCGTCCGCGATGTCCACATGCAAGTTCGTTGTGCCCATGGATCGTGAACCGCCGGTCCCGTACGCCACGTACAATTTCGGTCCCAGATCCGGGCAGACGAAGAACGAAGCTAAACGGGAGGCAAGATTCAGTTGACCGTCCCGACATGTGTACTCTGGCATGGGCAGATTGTTCATCAAATCGGAGAATCGATTAGGTTGAAGCTCGGCAAAATCGTCCGTGGTCGGCCAGTCTTTCAGTTTCAGACAGAGGGCGCGGCCGTCTTTGTTCACCAGACGTTCTGAATGAGAAATGAAGTTTTTACAGAGTAAAAGGGGAATTCGGAAGCAATACCAAGAGCATCTAAACTAAACACAGAAGTTTAACAGTGCGAACTGCGTGAATAAACCCGGAATGTTATTATAAATTGACCAAATCAATCAATCAATCAGTCGTGTTTGAACAAACAAGGTTGAACGCAAACAGGCGTTAGCAGCAATAAACGGGGACCGATAACAGGAACAAAATGACAGACGATGGAGGTAGGAACCTTTAGGCCAATAGCAATGAGTACAGGAAAAAGTTACTTTGATTCGTTGTATAAAGAACTACTGTCTCAAACAAAAGTCGTGATTTTAAATGGAACAGCCTCCAGTTTTCCAAAAAAAAACTAAAAAAAAATGTGAAGTGACCTGTTTTCAATCTTGCCTGAGATGAGACGATACAGCTAGCTAGATATTTTATTCCACTTTTTTATTACACGAAAGTGAATACAGTAAAACGGGTAAACCCCATGATCCGAAGATATACTGTAAGTGGGAAGGTATGGAGGACATTCAAGCTAGAACCAGCTCATTGATTCTGCGTTTAAATATTTGAAAGAAGGAGAGTGTTTTACAGTCATGCTGTTCTTGGGAAAAAAGATGATTGAAAGTTAGAAATGCGACACCTGGGGATAGTCACTAGAAATGGGTGACTGGCCGCTTGTGTTGCGGGATCTACGAGAAAGAACAAGTGGGAGAAGGACAGATGTGGAAAGTTCATCAGAGCAAAAACCAAAGTAATA